CCATCCACCCATCCACCCATCCATCCATCCATCCATCCACGCATCCATCCATCCATCCATCTGCACTATCTCCATCCATCCATTCAACATCTACTCATCCATCCACCCATCCACCCATCCACGCATCCATCCATCCACGCATCCATCCATCCATCCACGCATCCATCCATCCATCCATCCATGCATCCATCCATCCATCCATCCATCCATCCATCCATCCATCCATCCACGCATCCATCCATCCATCCATGCATCCATCCATCCATCCATCCACGCATCCACCCACCCATCCACGCATCCATCCATCCACGCATCCATCCATCCATCCATGCATCCATCCATCCATCCATCCACGCATCCACCCACCCATCCACGCATCCATCCATCCATCCATCTGCACTATCTCCATCCATCCATTCAACATCTACTCATCCATCCACCCATCCACCCATCCACCCATCCACCCATCCATCCATCCATCCATCCATCCACCCATCCACCCATCCATGCATCCATCCATCCATCCATCCACCCATCCAACCATCCATCCATCCATCCATCCATCCATCCATCCACCCACCCACCCATCCATCCACGCATCCATCCATCCATGCATCCATCCATGCATCCATGCATCCATCCATCCATCCATCCATGCATCCATCCAATCTCCAACCATCCACACAATCTCTATCCATCCAACATCTATTCATCCTTCCACTCAGCATCCATCCATCCGTGCAGCATCTACCCCTCTATCCACACAGCATCCATCAAACCTTCATTCATTTATCCATCAATCTACCCACCATCTGTCCATCTGACAGACATCATCCATCTACCCGTCCTAAGTAAGTGTCATTTCCTAGGTTCAATCTGGTTTCTAGGTGCCAGTACCTATAGTCAACCTCATTTCTTCATTCCTTCCCCCCTCTACTCACCTACTCCTCCCCATTCAGGCATGTTTGAGGGACTTAATTATTGAGTTTCAGGTACTCATTTATTGCCAAGAATTTATGACTAGACAGAGTACCTCAACATATTTAAGAATTTAAGACCAAGTAGAGTACCTCAGTATAACTCATTTACAGAGAGCTTCAAACATGCCAGGAATTCATCATGGGCTACAGTCGTAACTGAGATGCCATGGTCATACAGTGACCTTGGACATGCACTAGGCTGCTAAATGAAAAGGGAGGTGGCAGTTGGAATCCACCAGCCACTTCTAGGGAGAAAGATGGCCGTCTCCTCCTGCAAACAGCCTTGGAAGCCTGGTGGAGGGTCAAGAGTCAGAACTGAGTCTTAAAGAGTGGCAGTAACACCCAGATGGTGCAGATGGTTAACTCATTTGCTTTCTAACTGAAAGGCTAGAGGTTCATGTTCACGCAGAAGCCAAAGGTCTCGTGATCTACATCTAAAAAATCAATCACTGAAGACTGTGGCACAGAGTGGCAGTCTGACACACCAGGACGGCAGCTGTTCTGATCCTCTTGGGTGAAGAGGGAGAGTGGGAGGGGTGCCCAACCAGGGGCATTTCAGGTGAGGCCAGAGAATGAGTTTTATGGATTTTCTTCTTAAAATCACCAAGCTCATGACCTCTTTAGGGTGCATAGTGGTCCCTTGCCCACGGTGCAAGTGTTTACTCCTATGCCTTCTTTTGCCAATGGATACAATTCATGCAAAAGAAAACTGGAATTCATTAGAGGTGGCCAAGTGAGTCTTATTATGATGGATGTCATAGGACTTTGGTGGCTCAGAATAAAAAGGTCTGTCCTGGAGAGAGTGAATCAAGTTGCTTGTTGGAGGCAAGATTTTGAAACTTCGTCACATATACTCTGGGCATGTCGCTAAGAGGAGCCAGTCCTTGGTGATATTTCCCTGCTCTGTCCCTCTGCCTGTTTTTTTCTCTACAGACCAAGGAATCCTGCCTGGGAGACCCCTTAACATTTTGGCGCAAATGACAGGAAATGTGTTTCTAAGCATGGTTGTCAATTTAAAAAGTGTGCGACAACATGCTAATAAAGCTTCTTTAGCTTAAAAAAAAGTAGAAAAAAATAAAAAAAGGGGGGGGGGGAAGAAGGGCTGGTCCTTGAAGAAGGGCATCATGCCTGGGATAGTGGAGAGTCAGCACAAGAAAGAATGACCCTGGATGAGATGGACTGACACAGTGACTGTGGCAATGAGGTCAGGTGTGCTGAAGAAGATAGGGAGGTTGGTTCAGGACAGGACAAGGTTCAGAGCTATTGTTCATAGGGTCATTATGAGGTGTAATCAACTCAACAGCATCCAATAACAACATCAGAAACACCAACAATGCATTTTCAAGACGCCTTTCAGGTCTGGAAGCTCAAGATCGTCGTCTTGGGGGTTTTAGGGGCAAGTGACCAACATAACCTAGAAAGACAGTGTTCTACATTTTGCTGGCTGAGAGGCAGCTCAGGTCTTGAAGCTTGTCAGTGGTCATGTAAGGTCACCTGATGGTCCCTTTCTGGGGCAAAGAAGAAGGAAAAAAATGAAAGACTATGAGTCCAAAGGACCACTGGACTGCGTGAACGTCAGTCTCCACACCTTGAGACTGGAAGTAGATGGTGCCGGGCGACCAGTACTGACCGCTCTAAAATGGATCCAATAGGAGGTGACAGAGTGACAGAGTGAGAGGAAAAGTCGAAACAAAACTCAAAATCATAAAAGCCCAGGCTTTCTGGTCTGGCAGAGAACACTGGGACCCCCGGCACTGTGGCCCTTACGCCCTTTGAGTTTGGAATCAGGGTAAAAATGACCTCTTTTAGGCAGGAAAGAAGTGGAGGATATGGCACCGGGAGGGCTTGCGGTGTTGACCAGCACCCTCATTCACATGCGGCCAGGCTGAAGAAAACAAGGGGGCTGCCATGCCCTGAACCCCCCGGGACTGCTTTCTGTAGAGATGGCCCCACCCTTAGGCCAAGGCCTGATCTTCTGCCAGAATGCCACCAGGCTGAAAGGTGAGGATGGAGAAACTATAAACCGGCAGAGTCCCTGCCTCGACCCCAAATCCCTCTCTGTAGGTTCGGAAGCCTCCTGCTCTGACATCTGCATCTGCCTTCCAGTTCATCTGGCTGACGTGTCACAGGCGCTGTCCAAGGGACAAAGAGAGGCCCCAGTCTCTCGATAGGTCTTGTTTTACCATGAATCAGAGATTCCTGGGCTAGTGCCAATCCCTCTGAGAGTGCAGGGCCTGTGTCACCTTCTGATAGATTCATGGAAAAGGCAAGTTTATGTTAATGTTGGATGAAAAATGTAAACTGAGACCATCGGAGGGTTTTCTGTTGATGTGATTCACGGCCCTCTGACACCTCTTGGGAACTTCAAAGTATCCTCACTGACCAAGACACCATAGCCTGTGGTGGCTGGGAGCTCTAATCCTTCCAGTTGAGGAAAATGGTGTCCTTGAGCCTTGATCCTGCCAGCAAAACTCAATCATGTCCCTGGTTTGGGGTGGAAACAATGAATCAGTGTATATATATATATTGTTGTTATCTGCTGTCAGGGACCTCTCCAGAATGCTGAGAAGCAACGATGTCAACCTAGAGACTAAGGTGCACCTGATCCAGGCCACTGTCTTCACAATTACTTGCTAGCATCAGAGAGCTAGGAAATGACTAAGAATGACAGAAGAAGAATTGATGCCTTTGAGTTGTGGTACTGAAGAAGAGTCTTGAAAATACCATGGATCACCAAGAAATCAAGTAAGTCTGTTTTGGAGAGGGTAAAACCATGTTTCTCTTTGGAGGCTAGGATTCTGAAGCTCCATCTCATATTCTTTGGTCATGTGGCCAGGAGGGAACAGTCCTTGGAGAATGACATCATGCTTGGAAGGGTGGAGTGACAGTGCAGGATAAGAAGACCCCAGATGAGATGGACTGATTCAGTGACTGGGACAATGCGAGTAGGTGTGCTGTAATCAGTGAGACTGGCTCAGGATAGGGCAGGCTTCAGAGCTATTGTACATAGTGTTGCTATGAGTCACAGATGAGTTGATGGCACACAACAACAACAACATGTACTATCAAATTAACAATGACCTTCCAGTGGGTTTTCAGAGGCAGTAAATCACATAGGGGGACACTGCCCATCTTTCTCTTGCAAAGCAGCTGGTGGATTTGAACCATGTATCTTTGGGTTGGTAGTGCAATGATGTCAGTTTAAAGATTACAGTATGCCTGGCCCATGCTGTGGTCTTTCTGGTTCCTTGCTATGGAGCACGAAGCTGGACAATGACAATGGAAAAGAAGAACTGATCCCTTATGTTGTAGTGCTGGAGGAGAGGACTGAGTAGCAAAAGAACACTGTATTTTGGGAAAAGAGTGGCCAGGGTGCACCCTGAAGGCCAGGACGGTGACATTTCATCTCAGACACTCCACACACGTTGTTAGGAAGGGCCAGTCCTTGGAGAAAGACGTCATGCTTGGAAAGGTGGTGGAGGGTCAGTGTAAGAGAGAAGCCCCTCAACAAGCTGGACGGACACTAACAATGGACATGAGTCTATGGAGATGAGGAGGATAGCACAAGATGGGGTGGGGTTTAGATCCACTGTTCACAGGGTTGACGTAACAACAAATAGAGCTCTAGAGGCCTTGTGGGTAGAAGCTGCCCAAAGGTGGGAAGTTTGTAGCCACCAAACTTCCCCCAAGGGAAAAAGATGGGCAGTTTCCTCCGATGCAATTGACAGCCTCTGAAAACTTGCTGGAGGGTCAGCCGCGCGTCAGCTCCCACCTGACGGCAGTAAACATACCTGTATGTATACATATGCTTACAAGGGGCTCTGGTGGCCTCGTCAGTAGAGAACTGAGCTGCTGATGGGTCTCAGACAGTGTCTTATGTTGGGAAGATTTGCATTTGGGGAAGGAAAGGGATAATGTAGCGGATGGACACTCGGATCTCAACCTTAAGGATGGAGTCCAGATTGAAAAGTGAAAATCAAGCACACTTCCATCAGGCTGATTCCAATGCAGAACTCCTACAGAGGGCAGAGGAGAACCACTTTCGCTGGCTTTCCAAGGCTGCCAGTCTTCACAGACGCAGACTCCTCATCGTTGTCCTACAGAGCGGCTGATGGGTTCGAACCACTGACCTTTTGATGGTGGTTGTGGTGGTGTTGTTAAGTGCCGTCGAGTGGTAGATGACTCACAGCGACCCTATGAACAAAAGATCTGAACACCTGTATAACTTTCATCGTTTTTCTAAGTTCATAGGGTTTCCGGAGGCAAGCTGTTTCGGAAGTGCAGCCAAAAATTTAAGCACTTTGTCGTCCGTGTCCCTATGGTCCAGACAGCATCTTACAAGGCCTGGTACTGAGTGTGGAGATGAGGGGAAGGAAATGCATTTAAAGAACAGCAGCTGAGTGCAGGAGAAGGAGTGCGGGGAAAGCCTTGGATGATGCCCAGGTTTCTGGACAGGTGAGTCGTGGTTACACCATAAGGGAACTCACATCAGGTAAGGTTAAGAGGGAAGAGAAACAATTCTTAACTTTGGTGCACAGACTTTGAAGTGCCCAGGAGACATCCATGTGGTCATACACAGTTGGCAGTGAGACATGCAAATTGAGAATGGGAATACAGATGTGAGTCATCAGCTTAATGGCAAGTCAACTGTCTGCGCTTTAATGTCAGCTATGACATTACGAGCTGTGTGACCTTGGCCAAGATACCTGAGTTCTTGGTTCTGGTTGGTTTTTTTTTTTCCTTCTTTGAATCAGTTCATCCGAGTCTCTAAATTCATCCAAATACTCATCCACCATATTGTCAGTTTCCTTCCCCAAATACAAATATTTCCAATATATGACACTGTGAGATCCTTCCATGAACTCCTCTGTCCTCCACGGATTCATTCCTCATTTCTCCACATTGGGTTCTCCAGGCCACTCGATCTGTGCTCCATAACCACACTGTGACTACATCACACTGCCGAGCTGTGTCTATATGCTCTTGTTCTCCACTGTGCCCTACTTTCTCCTGCTGATTCCCCCACCGCCACCCCAAGACCCTCCTCTATGACAGCCCCTTCCAGAGCCCTTGCCTAACTTTCTCAGGTAGAGAGGACCCTTCTCTCTTTGGCGCCCTCATGGTCTTCATAAACACTTTATCATGACCAGTATCAAGACATTCTGCACTCATGTGGAAAGCCTTGTCCCTCACAAGGAGGCACTTGGCTACTAACTGAAAGGCTGGTGGTTCAAATCACCCAGAGATACCATGGAAGAAAGGCTGGTGATCTTTTGGTCATGGACTGGTCACAGCCCTGAGAATCCTGTGGGTACAGTCCCACTCTGCAACAGCTGGAATCACCCTGGGTCAGATCTGATGCTATGGTAACCGGGTAGCATTTGGTCTGGTATCTCCTCCTGCACTCCCTTGGAAGCAGGGACTGGCTCTTATCCAGACACAGGGACTGGCTCTTACCCGGAAACAGGGACTGGCTCTTATCCACCCTTCTCTGTATCTACAACCCACTGGGTGAACAAACTGAGAGCCAAGCCTTGCCTCTGGTTGACCAGACCTTGAAGCAGAAATCTTGAGTGCTGAGATTCCACTAGGTCTAACCCACGAGGATTTCCTCTTGGGAGTGTAGGGCACTCTGCAGGCCAAGATACACAACCTCCTGGGCCATTCTTGTCTTCCTTCATCCGAGGCACTCCCACGACAGCAATGATGTGAATGTGACCCAGGCCCCACCTGATAGTGATAATCTGCCCGATGTCCAAGTCCAGGCCATTCAGCTGTGCGATGAACACGGCGGCCACGGCCTCATAGAGCGCAGTCCCGTCCATGTTGATGGTGGCCCCGACAGGCAGCACGAACCGAGTGATCCTCCGGTCCACCTGGTTCTTCTCCTCAGCACAGCGGAAGGTGACGGGCAGTGTTGCTGAGCTGTGTGACAAAAGAGAGAGGGATGATGGGGTTGAACTGCAGGCCCTCGCCCCCCGTGGAGGAGACGCCTCTCTTCCAAACACCGAGCACAGAACCCGAAGCACGCTGGGCCCTTCTGTCAGAACTCAGCTTTGGGAAGACACCATGCCCGTCACTGCCCCCAGTCCAATCACAACCTGTTCCCGGGTGGCCAGGCCGGCCAAGAGGGCAGGACGGACTCACGGAGTGAGGAACTAAGTGCAGGCACAGAGGTGTGAGGCAGAGACAAGGACCACTGGCCACCTCCAATGGGAGGGGAGTTGGGGAGGCCCAGCGTCTTCCCGAAGCCCCTCCTCTGCTTACCTGGACGAGATCATCAGAGCCGTCAGGAGCGCCTGGGCCATCCCCATGGCGAACCTGAACGGGTTCTTCCGGACGACTATGAAGTAGATCAGTGGGAGGATGACAATGGAGTGGATTGCCAGCCTGCAGATGAGAACAGACATGCTGGGAGAGAAGGCCACCCAATCCCTGTCAATCCCACTCAAACAGCTCTAATGTTCACAGTATCTGGCAACCTTCACTATGACCCAAGGGACACATGGCAGGCATCTGTGTCCCCGAATCCATTGAAGATGCAGGAGCTCAGCAGCTGGGAATCTCCCAAAAAAGCATGTAGACGAACTGGGATCTCAGGACCCTCAGAATGTGGTGCGGAGACACGACCAGCTGTCTGCGCGCAGCTCCTGTGACTCCCCAGCCCCTTCTCTTCCTTCTACTGTTCATGCCTTCTGGCCCTGCGGTGGTGCAACGATTAAGCTGCTAACCAGGAAGCTGATGGTTTGAACCCACCCTGTGGCTTCCGGAGAGAAAGACCTGGTGATTTGCTTCGGTAAAGATGACAGCTAAGAAACCCTCTAGGGCAGTTCTACTCCGTCACAAGGGGCCACAAGTGACCTGATGGAATCTAACACCCACCACCTCTAAGGCTCTAAGCTCCACCTTGGGGCACCTTCTCAGCTCCTCACATGGAGTGAACCCTTCCCTCTAGATCTCCTCTGTGCCCCACCCCCCACAATAGCCTTTACCCAGCCTCGTTCCTCCCAGCCCTGCACCACGTCCACCGACCGTCTCTGAGAAAAGACGGCTCCGAAGGAGGAAGAGGAGGTCCCTGGTGTGCACGGCCACAGAGGGACTGTTCCCTCTTTATTATTCCTGCCTTCCAGAACTGTCACTTGTTTCACATAGAAACATACATGTGACACAAAATAGGGGCTTAAAAAAAGAATTAGAACCCCCAACCCAACTGGCCCTGGGTTGATTCTGACTCGTGACCGTGTGGGTAGCTCAGGGTCGACCGTGCTCCTTGGGTTCTAAAGCAGCAGTGTTTACTGAAGAAGGAGCGCCATCCTTTTCCCCAGGAGAAGCTGGCAGGTTGGAACCACAGACATTTGGCCAGCAGACAAATACTTAACCACAATCCCATCAGGGCTCTTTAAAGAGAGAGAGAAAGAGGGGGAGAGAGAGAGGGAGGGAAGGAGGAAGCGAGGGGGGGGGGAGAGAGAGAGAAAGAAACAGAGAGAGCAGAGTGACAGAGACAGACAGACAGTATATAGTATGCCCCAGAGGCTTGGCAGCCAACCCGCACACAGGTATCTGTCCACATCAATGTTCAGTGTAGCCCTGTTCACTGGAGCCAAAATGGTCAAACAACCCAAGTGGCAATAACAGATTAATGGATGAACAAAATGTGGCATCAAGAGAGGGTTATTTACAGCACTGACACAGGTGAGGGAGAGGCCTGGTTAAAAGGGATATTGTTGTTGTTATGTGCCATCGAGTCGCTTGTGACTCATAGCGACCCTATGTACAACAGCCCTAAACCCTGCTCTGTCCTGTGCCAATCACACTGTCTCCGATACACCCATCCTGATTACCCCAGTCACCGAATCAATTCACCTCATAGAGGGCCTTCCCCTCCTGGGCTGTCCCTCCACCCTCCCAAGCATGATGTCCCTCTCCAAGGACCAGTCTCTCCTTACAACATGTCCAAAGTATGTTAGACGGAGCCCCAGAATCCTTGCCTCCAAGGAGTAGCTTGGTTTAACTCTCTCCAGGTTGAATCTGTTTGTTTTCTTGGCAGTCCAGGGTACATTCAACACTCTTCTCCAGCACCACAGCTCAAAGGCGTCAATTCTCCTTCTGTCCTCCCTAGTCATTGTACAGCTCTCTGATGCATAACAAGTGATTGCAAAAACCATGGCCTGTATCAGGCACACCTTAGTCTCCAGAGAGACACCGTTTCTCTTCAGTACTTTGGAGAGGTCCCTAACAGCAGACTTTCCCATCACAATAAGTCTTTTAATTTCCTGGCTACTGGTGCCAAGAGTGTTGACTGTGGAGCCAAACTAAAGCTCTGAACAATCTCAATCTCTTCACCATGACAGGAATCTAGAACGAAGGCTACATAGTGGAGTGGACCTGGGGGGGGGGGAGGGACTGTATAACAATGAAAGAATTTTACTTTTCAAAAAGAAGAAGGAACTGGAAGGGAGGGGTGAGCAGGGAGAAAAGTGCAACAGTGAATGAATGAAAATCCAAAATCTCTGTAAATTTTCATTAAAATTATTATTAATATAAAAAAGAGAGGGTTATTGTTAAGGAAGCCGTGAGCAGAGGAGAAATAAACCTGGACATGGGGAGTGACGATGGCTGTAAAGCATCATGAATGTGGCTAATGTCACTCGATTGTACAAGAGAAAAGGTCTGAGAGAAGTACAGTCAGACTGCTCCTTGGAACAAGGACTGTGAGACTTTGTGTCACTTACTCTGGGCATGCTGCCGGGAGGGGCCAGTCTCTGGAGAAGACAGTCCTTGAAGGGGGGGACATCAGGCTTGGAAAGGAGGCAGGTCAGAGAGAGACAAGACCCACCGTGAGGCGACCTGACGCAGCGACCGCTCCAGGAGGTGGAGCACAGCGCAGGTGGTGAAGCCGTGCACACCGGGCACGACCTGGCTCTGACATGGGGCTGCTAGGAGTCGGCGTGAACTCGGTGACATGTGACGATAACAACAACAAAAAGAAGCATATAGATATAGACTGGAATGACCACCAGGTGGGAGAAAGTTATGGAAACATCCAGTAACATAGATGAAATGTGGAACCACTGGGTCTGGTGAAACAGACCTACCAGGATAAATACTAGGTGACCCAGTGATGTGGATTATCTGGACGAGGCAAATGCACCAAGACTGACTAGTTTACTAGTGGCCACTGGAGCAGAGGGACAGGGAGAACAGGAACTCTTGCTGAAGGGATCTCGAGCTTTTGTCTCGATGAAGTAAACTTTGGGAAGCCGATGTGGATGTGGGTGGACACACAGTATTAAATAGATACATCTGCAGATCCATTACCACTCGCCTACTGGTTCCCTGAAGGTACCATGCCGGGAAGCTTGTGAATGGCGCACTCAATGGCAGTGGGCAGTGGGTTGAGTTTGTCATGTTTCTTTTGGAAACAGAGCATCAAGAGTTATTCTTCTTCACTTGACCCGAACTGCAACCTTTAGCTTGGCAACCAAATATTAAAATCATTGGAAGACGAGGTGTTACAAGCACCATGTACCAGCTTCCCAGCACATCTTTCAGGGAGCCAGTAACTGGGATGTACTGGACACTCAAACCACCCATCTCCTGCTGTCCCACACACTTCCCATGAGCCTGAGGATGGTCCCAGCACCCTCCTGGACACACGGTGATGAAAGGACTGGCAGTGGTCACCAGCCCCTGTTGTTCCTGGATTTAATCCAGCCAGCCACGCTGTTCTCCCTGGAGCCCTGGTGGCGCTGTGGGTAAGGCGTGTCACTGCTAGCATCCAGGTTGGTGGTCTGAACTCATCATAGAGGCTCCACAGGAGAAAGTGCAGGCAGGCAGCTGCAGGGAAGGGTTAGAGCTTTGGAAACGCGATGAGGCAGTTCTGCTCTGTCCGACACGGTTGCCACGAGCTGGAATCCACTTATTGGCTGTGGGTTTGGTAAATTTCTTCAGATCCAGTTATTGTGTCTGGGTGCTAATCTAAAGGCTAGCAGGGTGGGTGGACTCAGAGGTGTCTAAGGAGAGGACATGCTCTGAAAACTCAGCCACAAAACCACCAAGGAGCAGAGCCCTGCTCACACACACCTGGGCTGCCCTGCACCAGCATCCACTGACACGTGTGCGTGCGTGTATGCATGTGTGTGTGCATGCACGCGTGTGTGTGCTTCTAGAGGAAACGTTAACTCTAATGATAGGATCTGGGTGAAAATTTCCAAAGCAAACTGCTTTTCCATCCAACTCTTCACACAAATTTTGTTTCATGACACTGACCGCAGTCACCTCTATGGAACCACTCTTCCCATTTCCTTCCAGCACTGCTTCCACTGACCCTTGCTCTCCTTCCTTCCTGAGCTGGACCCTGGGCAGATGCTGCCCTTTGGCCTTTCCGGTTGGCTGTGCTAGGGAGTGTGTACTCTGTGATGTTACCGTTCACCGTATAGGTCTGTCTATCGTTTGGCTCCTTGGAAGCAAGGATGACGAGACTTCATCTTACGGGCTTTGGTCATGTTCTTAGGAGGGATTAGTCCCTGGAGAAGAACACTGTACTTGGAGAAACAGGGGTCAGTGAGATGGACTTGACACAGTGAATGTGAGGACGGTGCACAAAGAGGCAGGAGTTTGTTCTGTTACACACAGGGCTGCTGACTAGATGGCATCTAACAACAACAACTACTACTACTACTGTTTGGCTGAAAGTTGAACCATGAGCTCATGGTGGCTGTATCCGTCTTTCAGGCTTAGGTGAACGGGCCATTCTTACGTGTCTGCCTGGCTCACATCCTGGAGAAGGCTGGGAGAGGACCAACGATGGCTACAAGAAGGTGCCAGTCTTCAAGAATTTTAGCTCAGTCAACAAAGGCAGTGGCAGGAGGAGGGGGACAGTCCGGTCACTAACGGGCAGCTCCTCCCCACACTCTGCTCTTGCACAGACCTCGGACACAGGACCCTGTGCGCAGGAGGGAAGCCCATTTTACCATCCGAAAGCCCCACCCCTCACAGGAGGGCTCTGTGACGTACCCGCTCAGCACAGTGGCCATGTACAAGCCCAACTTGCGGAATATCTCCCAGTCTTCAACCTCTATGATCTTCCCGGCGATCAGGAACAGGATCCCGAGTGGCATGTAGCTAGAGAGCAGGTAGAGCAAGAGGCCAGTCCGTGAGGCCAGGTTCTCTCAGCAGGGAAGGAGCAAGCGGGGGCCCAGCACACCCTCCCCCTGACCTCCCACTAGCCTGGGTCCAGTGAGGGGCTGGGCACAGGTGCATCACAACCCCCAACCCCTACACCACCACAGCGGCTCCAGTTATCAGTACCCACGTGCCCCTGAGCATCTCCCGTCCCATCTACCATAAGTGGAGCCTCTCTGGTATCATGTGTAATGTAGCAGGCTGCTAACCAAAAGGCTGGCAGTTCAAATCCACCAGACACTCCATAGGACACACAGGCAGTCTCTTCCCCTAAAGATTTACCACTTCGGAAACCCGACGTAGGGTTGTTATAAGTTAGAACTGACTCAACAACAATGGATTTGCTTTAGAGTCTTAATCTATCATGTTGCTGTTGTTAGGTGCCGTCGACTTGTAGATGAGTCACAGTGACCCTATGAATGAAAGGCCTGAGCACTGTTTAGAGTTTCTGGAAGCAAACCACTTCTGAAGTAGATGCCACTCCTGCTTCCAAGCTTGTTTTAATCAGGGAGCTCCACCAAACACTGTCCACCACGGGTAACCATTAAACTAATCTATCAAAAAGAGGCAAATTCAGCATGAAAATGGAGTCAAACCAGGGCTCCCAGGCCTCAAACTTCTTGCTGACTAGCACATCTGCAGGCCTCCCTTTAGCTTGACCCCCTCTAATAAGGACACTCAGCTCATTCTAGCTGCGCCATCTGGATTCCCAGGGAGTCGCACCAGCCATATGCTGGCTGAGGAGCCGAGCGTCAATGTGCTTAGGTCCTATGCAAAGGCTGGATGGTTCACCGGACACCTTGGAAGAGTGACCGCAAGATCTACTTCCAAACTGTCCATCACTGGACACCCTCCAGAACACAGTTCTATCTTGGTACGCGTGGGCACCATGACTTGGGCTCAGTGCGAGGTCAACTGGTCGTGGCCACGGTGACGGCAGTGTTGGTGTCGCTCAATCAAGTGTGACTCATGGCGACCCGGTGAACAACAGCTCTGCATGCTGTCCTCTCCTGGCTCATCTCACCATCTCTGACACGTTGGAGCCCACTGCTGCGGTCACCGTGTCGGGCCACCCTCCACCTCTCCAGGCATGATGTCTCTTCCCAAGGAACAGCCTCTCCTAACAACATGCCCAAAGTACGTGAGCTGACACTCCGGCACCCTTCCCTCCAAGGACCATTCTGGTCACATCCTCTCCAAGGCCTCTCTATGCACCTGCGAAGACGAGATGGGACTGGAGGTGGAAGGGGCTGGTGCAGCTCTCTGAGCAGCACTCACTGTACTTTGCACTGCGTTACGTATTCTCGCATGCCTCATTTCACTTAATGGACTTCTCCCAACCCAGGGAGCAGCTTTTATGGGCCTTTTTACACATGATGAAACTGAGGTTCAGCAGGATGAAGAGATCTGCTGACTTATAACTGGGGTTTCATGGTCCGTCTGCATCTGGCACTGTCAACACATGGACTAAATAAATAATGTTGAGCTGAATCAACGGGAGACAAATGAGCCAAGGCCTTATGGAAGGTGGGCTTCTTGGCACCTTCAGGGGCAGGACAGATACTGGAGTGGTGTCACTGGAGTGTCCATCCACTGAGGCTTCCATTCGGATGGTCCAGGACCCCACGTGAACCGGGTGCATCTATTCTGAGGGTCCCGTCTGCATGGGGCCCAATAAGGGAAATGCAGTGGGTTCTGAGAACTTCCTTCTTACGTGAATGCTTCCAGGTGTAAGATGCACTCCTTGGGCTGTGAGGGGGAAGACCCTGAGTGGTGACCAGGCTTCCGCTAGTGAGCTAACTTCTGAATTGTAGGTGGGACCAGTTAGCATTTAGGGTCTTGAGTGGTTTCCTGGCTGGTGCAAATGGTTAATGCTCCACCGGTAACCTAAAAAGGCCACCCTGAAGGCCTCGGAAGAAAGGCCTGGCGATCAACTTCTCAAAACCCTCGGGGCACGCACTTGTATGCTGGCACACACGGGGCTGGAACTGACTTGATGGCAACTGGTTTATTTTTTTCAGCATCTTGATATTCAATGTCTGGCCTCTCTAGAGTAAAGTGTGTTGAGAAAGATAATCCCCTTTCTCTGATTATAAGGAAACAGTTGTCAGGGACAGTAAAATATCAGTAAACAAGACTTACCACATAATGACCTGCACAATTTTCATTGTTGCGTCACTCAAGGCATTGAAGAAATCCACGAGAATCTGTCCCTTTTCTCCCATTTTTCCAATGACAAGCCCAAAAACGAGGCAAAAGACAATCAGGCCCAGGACATTGATGCCATCCGAGTACATGCCCACTACTCTGTATTCCTTTGTCTTGTTCTGTGGATCAAAGCCAAGAAAAAGTACCCTCATTCACAGGCCCTGAAATGAGAAGGTGTGCTAGCTGGTGCCTCCCAGTCACAGCCAACGATGCTTCAGAAAACATGATTGAAACCAATCAACCAATCAAACCAAAAGCCCCTCTACTTGTAACAGATCTCAACCCGCTCAATTCAAGCTTAGAGCTCCTCTGCCTTCAACACAGAATTTCATTTTAAAATAAACATTTCTAAATATTCAAAGACAAATATTTCTTTTAAAGATTTCTCATTCTAGACCATTTTAAATTTTTATAGAGAAATTCAGAATCAGGGCACTTTCTGGAGTTATTTTAGCTATTTTTGGATTCACTTTTAAAAAAACAAGGCATTAATAGTGCAGGAAGTCCAAAATATTTACCAACGTGAGCATTTTTGAAAAGGAATTCTACTATCTGTTTTAGCCACAGTGAAGCACACAACGGTCTTCACCACCTGTGCTCCAGGACGGTCAGAAGAACTTCAGGGATATAAAACCTTGTTGACTTTGAGACAAAAGCACTTGCTTATCTGCTTTCTTCGATGACAGGAAGCATTCATGAGTTGAAGAAATCTCGCACATTCCCTGTTCTCTTCCCTGAATTCCTTTCATTATATAGGGATGAGGACAAGAATTATCTATCTATCTATCTATCTATCTATCTATCTATCTATCTATCTACCTACCTACCTACCTATCTATCTATCTATCTATCTATCTACCTACCTCTATATATCTGTCTATATATCTCTCTATCTCTCTATCTATCTATCTATATATCTCTATCTATCTATCTATCTATCTATCTATCTATCTATCTAATCTATCTATGAATCCTTTAAGTTTGTCACCCCAAAAGAAGTAATTAGAACAAATTAGCCAGTTATCTCCCCCTGTGAATCACTTCTTCATTTTATCCTAAGTAAAAACAGCATGAGAGATAGATTCCACACACAGGGAGGTCATATGAGCAGTGCAAATGGCCTGGACATTGGGGTACTCGTTGTATCTAGATATTGTCAGGCAAGCTAGGCTGTGCATATTGTACTGGCTGTTGCATCAGATCTTAAGATTCAGCTGGAGAGCCATGTCTAATTATAAAAAAACAAACGTTAATGGCATTAAGAAGGAGTGCAGTCACTTGGCTTTATTGTGGGGGTCTGGAACTGAACCCACAATATCTCTGAGAGATGCCTCAGTGTATGCATAATGCACAACCTTCCAAAGTCTGACTCACATATGGCCAGAGCGTTCTGGATAAAGAATTGCGGATCTCTCTTCCATCCTTAAAATACAAAGCAGAAAAATCTTAAGATACAAAGCTGTTTCAAGAGATGTTCAACTTTACCAACAGGAAGGTACACGGGTGCGCGGCTCACCCTCCTCCCAGTGTGGGGTTGCTATCTCACATCACAGGGTCTGGGAAGGATGGCAGGAGTAGCAGCAAGTGGTACCTTGGAAATGGCGGTTGTCATGGCAACAGTGATGAGCTCCTCCGTCTCGTTTCTCTCTGGCTCAGTTGTAGTTTGCACCTCTTCCCGCCTGGTTTTGTACTGCAAGTTGTGGAAGAACAAGAACACACATGCAAATATTTTGTAAGCTTCTGAAGTGAAACTACAGGACAAAGGCACTTTATCCAGACAAGCACCACTTCTACTTTTACGTCTGACATTTTTGTGGGAGAGTTTGAAGGTAAGAATCACCGAGTCGTGGAGCCAAAGTGGGATCAGGAAACACAAACCAGGGACCCTACAATCACCATTCAATAATGCCTGAACATCCGCTCAAGTGTATAGTAAAGGACAAGCCTGGCGGGCGCTTAACGCTGAAGAGGGTCTTACTTGTAGACCTGCCCTGGTGGTAAAGGGGTTAAAGCATTGGGATGCTAACAGAAAGGCTGGTGGATTGAGCCCGTAAGCCTCTGTGGGAGGAAGGTGTGGCCATCTGCTTACATTACAGACGTGGAAGCCTCTACAGGACTGTCAGGAATGGGAATTATTCACCCTCAATGTGTGTGTGTGTGTGTGTGAGAGATAGACACACACACACACAGAGTTGACACATCCTGGAGTCCCTGGATGATGCAAATGATTAATGAGTTGGACTGTTAAATGCAAGGTTGGAAGTTCAAGTCCACCCAGAGGAGCCACGGAAAATCCTATGGAGCACAGTTCACAGTTCTACCTGATGTGCACATTGGGGCCATAAGCCTGGGTCAAATGGTGCAGCGGTTCTCTTCAGTCATTTCTGTTGTCTCTGTTGTTTTTCTGCATTTATATTTGTGTAACGTATATGTATACATGTAACAAAACATTTCAACCATTTGTACAGACATGATTCAGTCACATGAACGGCATCCAACCAGGCTGCAGTCAACTTGATGGCAACTAGCAACTTTGAGGAACTGTCATCATTTATTAACTATCCATTTTTATCACCCTTAACAAAAACTCTTCTTCTGGGTCAAAACCACACCTCCACACTTATAACTGCAGTCACCAAGGACTTAAACAATCCTCAAGATAGAGTGGATCTGTGGGCCTTGAGCACTGCGTTTTTAAAGCTTTATCTGAAAACAGACACTCATTAAGATGGGTGAAAGGAGAGACACTTGTAAAACACACAGATGGTCAGATGCTGTGCGCTGGTGAAACCACAGGGGATGACTGACGGGCTGAAAACCCAGTATGCTTCAGGAACTTTCACTCAAATCACAACTGAAAAAAGTATTTATCTCAGTGGGATCCAGTGCGAGCTCTGGTGGCACGGCGAGTTATCTGTGGCACGGTTAACTAACAAGCTGGTGGTTCGAATCAATAAGCTGCTTTGAGAAAGAAATATACAGCTGAGCGCTATCCTGTTGCAAAGCTTGACAGCCTTGGGCATGCAGTGGAGGGACCTGGTGAACGAGACTCAATCTGATGGCAGTGGATGTCTTCTGGAGGAGGTAGGAGTTGTGATGAGGTCACACTGACTATACCAACTTGAGGATTAGACCAGAGTCCTGGGGGGGGGGGGCAAGCTGACGTGAACAAGGGAGGAATAACTCAGAAAAGGAGGGTCAGGACAGCTGCACAACGTGAAGAATGTTAACGCATGTCACTGAATGGTCCACGTGGGAGCTGCTGAATCGGTGTGTACTCTCCTATCAATAACTAAAGAAAAGAAATGCTATAACCCTCTGACTGTATGGCTGTTCCATACCAGCAATTTTTTTAGGGCTATTCAGTGGGTGAGAGTTCTGTTCATGCCTCCTCCTTGGGCTATTTGGTTCTGTGGGCCTTCAGTGTGGACGGCTAAGAAAGGGCCAGTATATCACGACACTGAGCACGGGTGTCACCCCTGGAGGGCCCTGCCAACACCTCAGACCTTACAAATGACCACTGTGGCTGCTGTATCGCCTCCCCAAGATAGAGGTGGTTCTGTGCTCGGCGAGACGGGCAGGGCGCAACTCAGCTGCCTTTCTGCGAGCCCCACACAGCGGGTTCTGTTCACGTCATTTATGCAAATGGACACAGCTGCCGTGACAGACCCCCGCTGTCTCAATGTGAGCAGGCACACTGCAGAAAGAGGCCTGAAGCAGGAGGTGGGAGGCAGGGAGTGTGAAACTTTCCTAGAGGAAAGAGAATCCTGACTTTATTCTGCAGTTTGCATGGTACTGTTCTGTGGGGTCCCAGCTGGTGCTGGCTGACGTTAAGCTGGTCCCTCGACTCCTCACCTCTATCACCATGGAAACAAACACTGCCTGTCCCACACCCTCCTCCATGATTGTGGGCAGGACCACTGAACCATATGTTTTATTAGCCGACTTTCAGAAGCAAATCACAGGCCTTTCACCCTGCTGGGTCTTGGTCTTAAAGCGCCACAGCAACTTATGTTTCCACGGACTGGCTGGTGCACTGACTAGGAATCGAACCTGTGTCGTATGCATAAAAGGCAAGAGTTCTTTCACTGCCCCACCACTGTTCACAGAGCCCCAGTGACGTGGACATGATAGTTAAGACCCTATCTCAGGAGTCCCATGCACAGCAACCCTGCCACATGCTGATTTCCTAACACCAGAGGGAAGAGAACCTAACCTTCATGGACACACAATGCATCTACAATGACAGATGCAGGAGGCCGTATTTAGAAAACCGTCCCCAAGAGCAGACTCTTGACCCTGTCCATTTGAGCCTGCAGAGAAGAAAGGAGACCAGGGTAAGCTGAAAGGAGTTCTAGGAAACTCTTCATGAACGACCATGCTTCCTGCTGCCATTGTGGACAAGCCATCTCCATGTCCTGGGTCAAAACAGAAAAAACAAAAACTGATCTGCTAAAACAAAGAGGGCAGTTACTAGAAAGCAAAAGCCTTTCACCTTACCTGCTGGAAGCAGGCTTGGACAAGGTTCTCCGGGAACATGTTCCTGTTGGAGACATGAAAAGCAGTATTACCTCAGGGTCAGACCCAGCACACTGTCACACCCAACACGCTGTGAGAAAGTACATCGTACAGAACCAGAATTTTTATTTTCTCCCCACTCCCTCCGCTTCCCTGTTGCACAAAACTTCCCCATGTTAAGATTTCTTTTTTCCCGTTGAGCTTCAAGCAGCATTGGACGCTTTCCTGCCCACTCTTCACTTAACTGACTCACCAAGGGATAACCCTGGGGAATAAATAACTTGTTTTTCTCGCTGAAGCAGCTCACTGACTGTGAACAATCAGACACAAGACAATTCTCCAACAGGCTCACCCATTTGTTTTCATCAGTGAGGACACACATTAACCAAGAGTCCACTGCCCATCTCCAAATTCTTTACACCCAATGTCAACATCATCATAATTATGAGATTTAATGAAAAAGGAAACCTATGTACCACACGATGCAAAGGAAGCTGTGGTTCTACAAAACCGAAGCAAAACACAGAGACTCCACATAGACAAGTCCATGTGAGTCTGAGTTAAATACAGGGAAAGTGACTTCAGTACAAACAACACAAAAAACACAAACTGGAAGGGTTTGGTACTCGCGGTTGTATTTTGTGGTGTGGGTTTGTTTTTGTTTTTTTTAAAATTTCTAAAGTTTTCTTTGTTCTGCCTTATGGAAGAGGAACCTGAAAATCATAAAGGATGGATTTACAAGGGCTGTTGGTGCAACAGAAATGACAGGGAATTAACTCAAACTGTAATCAATTAGCATCCTGCAAACCAACTGGCAAATAAAAATGCCCTTAAGGTGGAGGAAAAAATCAAATGGGCAGTGTCTGGGTCATTTTGTCACGATTCTTTGCTTGCTTTGTCCTCTTCTGGTCACGGACCAGCCTCCTGCACCAGCTGCTTCAGGTAAGGTGACCTCTCCAGTGTATTAAAAACCCTGCAGGCAGGCTTGCCCTGACCATGCATGAGACATCTTACAGACGCGGTGTGTCTTACAAACTGTAAATCTGTGGCAACCTGGCATCAAGCTAGGCTATCGGCACCATTTTTCCAACAGCATGTGCTCTCTCTTCGTCTCTGTGGCACATTTTGGCGATTCTTGTACTACCTCAAACTTCTTCACGATGCTGTTACATACCTCATAGACTACAGAAGACTATTAACATAACTTCTATGTGCCCTGATGTAAAGAGAGCAAGGATAGTGTGGAGACAGTCCTATCTGACTTTTATCAACTTCACCAAGGGGAAACGTCCCTGTCAACAACATCCACAACAAGAAACTCATTCCAATGAAGTCAGACCTGCTTGCCATACTCCTGCACCTCTTTCTATTCCAACACTAATCTTACTGTTCTACTGGGTCCAAAATCCATTGCAGTAGCTCATAGACCACACAGAAGCATATTATTCAGGTTGGTAGCACATACACTCAAGTCAGCATGGCTTCTGACATGTGCTCCCAGGCATCTCAGCCTTCAGCCTCATGGCTTGACGGTTACAAGGCTCCTGACAGTTATGGCTTTGCCCTCTAGTCCTCCATGAAACTTGGGCCAAGGCTCGTAGCTCTAGGTCATGGAGTAGTCGTCCCAAAGTCAGCTCCGTATCATCTAGGGTCTCTGGTTCTCTGCTGCTGCTGCTCTTGTAGGACTGGCTGGATCAAGAACTCTGGACCTGAAGGGTGCACAGCATTCTCCTGCCGCTTCTTTGCTGGTGGGGCAGTTCTCAAATTCGCCTGTGAATCTACTCAATTTCATCACGAGATTAGCCAATCCCCTGTGGATAGACTACACACCCTTTCACATATTCCTGTTCATCCACAAGGTAAAGCCCAAAGCAATGTCTGGGAAAGCAATAAACCCTTAACATCGTGCCTGGAAACTAAAAAATCATGGGGCCCACTTTATGGTGATAATCTCTTTATTGTTGTGGAACCTGCAGTATCTCTGAGGTCAGCCTTTGCTCAGCTCTGAGGCCCCAGCCCCCCTGACAGACAGCAGGTACACTTCCAGTACCACTGTCCACTTTCCATCCTGAGGAGTCCACTCTGCCCATTTCCTCTTCCAAAGAACCCTGTCACAAGATCCATCGGGCACTTCCATGCCCCCTTTGGAACTGCAGCTTGGCAAACAGGACAGATTTAATTTACAGAGCCCCTGAAAACGGAAATGTAGTATAATAAAAAAAAAAAAAACCAAGAGGAAGTTCAAGGTGGCAGTCAATCACTGGACCTTGAGTCGTCCATGGACTGCCCAGGTAGAGGGTGCGAAGAACACTCACCTGATCAGGTCCAGCATGGCGTCCACTGTGCTGACTTCAGGGGTGCTGCCCACCCGGTCAATATCATCCACTTTCTGCGTGACTCCAGGCTTGATGCTCACCACCAGCACAACTCCTGTGGCCAAGACAGCCTCATGGAGCATGACAAAGCTTCTAGAGACCCTGGGCACCTCTCACACATCCCTCTCGGAACCAGCAGGTTCAGTGAGACCAGGCAGGACTGAGGCAGGTGGGCCACCTCTAGCTCGGCAGGGACAGCATGGTGGGACAAAGCAACACCATGACAGCCACCCATGGGCCAGCAGAGCCTCAGCTGGGGGACAGGCACATGGTTACCAGCAATACTAAGACCCCAAGGGCCAGCCAAGGTTCAGGTGGAATCCCCTTCTCAGTGCTGTCAAGTTTAAGCAAACTCATTTGGCTTCAGAGGGTCTAAATCTCAGGGGAAGAGACCGTCCACCTTTCTCTTTTCAAGCTGCTGGTGATTCTTACCAACAGAGAGGTACGGCCTTTGAGTCACAGCACAAGTCCCTGTGGACCATGCCACCAGGGCTCCCGTGGGACCTCACAGACAGGCAGTCTTAATTCTTTTTCCCTTATCAATGACAAGGCAGAAGGAAGTCTTTGCTTTCAAAATTTATTTTATTTTTTAAATGAAAAGACTGCATCCCAGCATTCCTTCCGGAAACATCTGCTAACCAGCACATTTTCTTCTGGTTCTGAGACCATCCATTTCCCATCCCAAGGGATCTGTCCACTGTCTTTCTTTAACTATCCTGGCTTTCCTCCCAAGAGTCACTTAGAACAAGTCTTATCTTCCACCCCAGGGGACCTGTCCACTGTCTCTCTGTAACTTCATCCTGGCTATCTTTCTGAGGGCCACACAGAGCAAACCTCATCTTCCTGCCATGACGGAGGCCTTGAGACACCTAGAAATCTGTGTTCTGTGTGACTTGGGGGTGTGGGGTAGGAAGAACGAAGGGGCTACTGGGAGAGAGTCTTCTAGAACAGAAGCTGCCATAGTGATCTGCCTGCGTTCCTGTCAGGTGGGGTGGGATGATTACCAGAACAAAACGAAACACTGCATTTATAAAGCCCCATTGTTTCCGAATGAAAAGTTACAATTCTCGAGAGGAATAAGGGTTCAGAAAGGCACTGTACCTAGAATCACAGCAATGGCGGTGGTGCAGAAATAATAGAGGACGGCCCGCAGCCCAATCTTCCCGGATACGTTGGAATCCAGCGCCGCCACACCTGGAGGGGCAGTCAAAGGGGATGCATTTGTAGATGATCCACTCAGGACTGAGACGAGCTATCCTGCCACACGGACCCTGCACACCAGGTGAGCCACAGCTAGACCTCAGTGCTGACTTTCGTATGTTCAAGGTGTGAAAGAAAAAGCCAAGAGCTGCTCGCTGCACCTCCTCTGCCTGCCTCACACATTTTAAAAGGAGAGCAGACAATTCTCAAAGGAAGCACTCCAAATTCCAAGCACAGGATGCAGAGTGGGAAGCCCACAGGGGCTGCCAGGCTGGTGGACTCTGGGCTTTCTTGGGGACAGTCATGAAACACGGCCATGAGGATTTTTGTTAAGATTGTTGTGAGATTTTGTGAAGCTTACAACCAGGAGAGAATAAAACAGATGAACGGGATCTTCTACAAATCAAATCTCTAGTCACATCAATGTTCAACAGGGCAGCAAACAGCAATACTTAGGGCACGTGGCCAGGAGGGACCAGTCCTTGATGAAGGACATCGTGCTCAGAAAGATGGGAGTGACCACGCAGGAGAGGGAGACCATAGATGAGTTACGCATTTTATGTAGGACAACGATCTGGAACAAGAGGTGCACTGCGGTGTGGGCTGGGGAGAGGGAACGGAAGCAGGGGAGAAAATGGGCAACAATGAATAAAAGAAAAACAAAGAAAAATTAACAACAAAGTCTTATTGACTGAAACATAGAAAATATGCCCAAATTATGAAAAATGTGATTTTGCGAGTTACATCACTCAATTCCCTTTTAGAAAAATTCCTTTTGGAACCTGTCATCAGGAAAAGTTTATCTTGAAGAATGACCACAGTTCTGTTATCACACAATGAGAATCTTACAACTCAAGATTGTTCCCCTTTTTGCCTTTCCTGCTAGGAAGCTCAGTCAGCTAAAAAATAAACTTGCATGTTTGACTATAAAAGCAAATGTATGTTCATTAATGTAAAGATGAAAAAAATTTTATTTCATCAGTTATGCTTAATGTTCTGGGGAATTTTCTTTAGGGTTTTCTTTGTACATTTTTGTCAACATGGCTGAAATAATTTCTAGCTTTTAATCCTCTCTCTTTTTAATACTGTCTTTTAAGCATTTTTTTCCTCATCATTAAATATTCACCCTGCAGATAAATGTAATGGCTACATAATTTTCTGTGCTATGGCTGTACCATAACGTATTTAATTATTCACTTAGTGCTGGATCTTTAGATAGTTCCAGGGCCAAATTCAATAATAAATCACAGTAATTTCATTATCCATCCTGGCTAGTATACTTCCTTCCTCTTTTCATGATTTTCAAATTGCTTCCACATTAATGACACTATTATAGCTTTGACTGCAAGATGCCTGATAATGTCTATTTGAAAAAAAGGCAGAAGATAAGTCTCCCAGACCCAGGTAATTTAAGAGTCTTATCAGGACAGTGGTGGTTCAGTCAGTGGTAGAATTTACAGCTTCCATGCGGGAGACCTGGGTTCAACCACCAGCTGAAGCACCTAATATACAGTCACAGCCTGGCAGAGAGGTTTATGTGTTGCTAGGATATGGAAGAGACTTGGGAACCCACTTTGAAAAATCAGCCAATGAAGACTCCATGGATTACAAGTTCTGATCCAACTGTGCACAGCTGCCATCAGTCAGGGTCTGGGTTTAATTCAGCAGCAGCTAACAACAACAACAACAACAACAGCTATACTGTTAGATCTACTTTCTGGTTTTTGGTGGCCAACAAAATGACAGAGTGTTTTGTGGACTTGACAGATTTCTTACAAAGCCATGGAGAGAGCACTGGCTGTGTTAAATGCAAAAAGCCCACATCCCTCCTTGGTGGAAAACACCGTCAGGCTTCCAGGGCTGGATGTACATCTTTATGGAAGAAGGAGCTTCTGATGTTTTGGCTAGCAGTTCATCACATGACCACCATCCCACCAGGGCCACACACCACAGCTGTAGTTACGTGCTATTGCGTCAACCACTTCTCATAGTGACCCTATGAACGGTGGATCTGAACCCTGCCGTATCCTGTGCCATCCTCATCATCTGACACACCTGAGCCCACAGTCACTGTGTCGGTCCATCTCTTCGAGAACCTTCCTCTCTTTTGCCCAAGTTCCACTTCTCTGAGCATAGTGTCCTCCTCCAACGAAAAGCCCCTCCTAACAGCCTGCCCACAGTACGTGAGATGAAGTTTCACCATCCTTGCCTCCAGGGAGCCCCTTGGTTGTAGCTTTTCCATAAGATACTGGTTTTCCCCCATAAATGCAGCTGAACAATGCTGCTTTCTGATTGGTCAGCCCCTCCAGGATTCAAGCTGAGAAACAACCTCATCATTTTTCAGCAAGCTGTCATTTTGAGGTTTCAGATCATAACCTAGCTGATTTTTTTTTAAATGCGAATGTGATTTTTAGTTAAACGATGGTCACATTTCTATTTTAAAGGTTTGGTGGGAAATTACAATAGGGATGTTTGCTGTTTCCAAAGTCTGAGGTGCAAGGTAGCAGGAAAGATGAGGAGGATGTTATGTGGGAAGGAGCCCTGGAGGAGTAGTGCATTGTGTACTAACCGAAGGTTGACAGTTCAACTCCAGGAGCTTCTCCAAGGAAGAAAGATGGACAGTCTCCTCCACAGAAGTTGGACGGAGGGTGATCATGATTCAGAACTGACAAGACAGCAGTAGACTGGATTTATGTTTTGACTGCAATGCAGCCCAAGGCCAAGGACACAAACCTTGCATGCACAAAGATCTACCATTAGGAGGCACAGGCGGCTTTTAATCTGCTTCCCACACTTCACAAAGGCAAATCTGTGGCAAAGGATCTGTTTAAAACACTAAAGAGCAGATCTTCACCCTGAAACCCACAGCGTCCCTTTTCAGCAGGAAGTAGCTAAGAGAATACACCATCCCCTTTTCCTTATGACTCAGGGTGAAGTCTCTCTCAGGGAGGAGTGATAGGGAATGGCAAAGGACACAGTGACAAAGAAGATTAATCAGAACTGGCTTTGACAAGCACTGTGGCATTTGGACAAGAACAAACTGGGAGGAGGGTAGAGAGAATGGTGCAACAATGAATGAATGGAAACCCAAAATCTCTGTAAATGTTTATGAAAATTAATAAAATATAATTATAGGGGAAAAAAAACACTAAAGAGCAAAGATGTCACCTTACGGACTAAGGTGCATCTAACCCAATCCATGGTATTTTCCATTGCCTTACATGCATGAGAAAGTTGAACAATGAATGAAGATAAGTGAAGAAGAACTGATGTACTGGAATTGTGATCGCAGTGAAGATTCCTGTCAATTACCATGGACTGCAAGAACACACAGATCTGTGCTGGAAGAAATACAGCCAGGCTGTTCCTCAGAAGTAAGGATGATGAGATGTCTTCTCTAGTATGAGTGTGTTATCAGCAAGGGGCAGACCCTGGAGAAGGGTACCATGCTTGGAAAATAGAGGATCAGTGAAAAAGAGAAAGGCCCACATAGAGATGGCCTGTGAGCCAGGGCTGAGGATGGCACAGATCAGACAGGGATTCATTCCAGAGCCACTGTGATCCAGACAGACGTGATGAGAGGAACAATCTCACACTCTCAAAGCCCCGCCCACCTCCTCAACTGCTGGGGGGTGGGGGGGATGAAGCTCCCCCCACGACTGTACCAACAAGATGCACTAGAAAAGCCCCAAAGGAAAGTGCTAATTGTCCTGATGACAGAACCAGCCATTTCTCACTGGAAAGACACCAGGCCTCTGGCTGTGGACGGCGCCCAGGGACATGAGCATTCCCAGGGAACGTCAGGGAACAGAGCTCATCAGCGGTCCCTCAGGATGCAGGAAAGGTTGCTCACCACGCTCCAGACGAGATCAGTGATGTCCACCTGCTGGATACACTGCACCAGTCACACCCTGGCATGACCCTGATACAGATGCCAGCCTGTGGGGAAAATGGCACTGCCTTTACAGATGGTAAAACAATTATAATAACAAGTATGCAAGGAGCAAGAACTCATCAATAAATAGGAGCCTTTCATATTTTCTTTACATCTCTAAGAGAAAGAATAAGCAACCACTGAAATACAGGCTGCATTTACTTGGGCTACAAGCAAGATCTGTTCCTAAGTATGTCTTTAGTCAAGTTTGTGGGGAAGAAAAAGTGTATTCTTTAGACTTTAGTGTTAAGAAAAGGCTTGAAGACTTTTCAATGATTTAAAAGCGACAAATGCAGCAAAGGGAAGGTGACTGTGATGCATCTCGTGTGAACAGGGGTCAGTGCAAAGCTCTAACTCCTACTGTGGGTAAGGTGGTTAGTTGCTAACCAACACTGACTACGCCATGGACTGCTGAAGGAACCAAGAAATCTTGGAATAAATACAGCGAGATTGTTCCCTTGAAGCAAGGATGGTGGGCTTGGGAGCACATACTTCGGGCAAGTTACCAGGGCGGTCTGTCCCCAGAAAAGAACATGCACAGAGAAGTGGACAGTCAATAAATGAGAGAAAGCCCCTCAACAAGATGCACTGAGACACTGCAAACGGTGGGCTGACACACAGCTGTGTCTGTGAGGATGGCACGGGATCGGGCGGGGTTTTGTTCTGTCGTAAACAAGGTCCCTCTGAGTCAGGGGTGACCACTGGACACCTAACGATAATGACAACACCAACAGGCCAGTGTGAGTTGTCTGTAAACTGAGTTGCATGTAAGTCCAACACAGGTAACCTAGGGATTTAAACTGCTTATAGAATTCCTAGGTACTTTTGAGGTTATAAAGGTGCCTTTTCAATTCAGAACTCAGAACACTATTTGGGTAACCAATTATAATAATTATCTATAAGCATTAAGTGTGCTGTTATCAGCTGCCAGAGACTCAAGCCCAACTCCCAGGGACCTTACGAATGACAGCACGGAGCGTGCCCAGTCCCCTGCCGTCCTCATGGTCACGTACACTGTTCTGGATACTGTGTCAATCCACAACATCAAAGGTCCTTCCTG